AGTCTATTAAGGTTTGTGAGAGAAGCCGGGATTTTCAGGTTAGGGTTCTTTGGCCCGAGCTCTTCCTCTAATCATTATCTGGGCAGTTCCCATAGAACCTAACTGGCCATAATTGGTCCCTCGACAATGGGTGGGATGTCACATCTCTCTCTCCCTCACCGGACAACGTGCATATGAAATCTTAACAATACAAGATGATCGTTTCTAATTTGGATTTTAGATTAGAAACAAGTAGTTTTTTCTCTCAAATCTCTACTACCATCGATCTCTCTGGTGGCTCTCATCAGGGTTATCTCAGATCTAGGTTCAGATCAGAAACAATACAAGACGATCATTTTTTTTTCTCTCCGTTGCCGTTGATCTCTCCGGTGGCTCCATCTGGTTGAGTTTCAGGGTAAAATAGTTATTTTACATTTTCTTGTCCATGTTTAATTACCCTGGTAAGGGTACACTTAGTCAATTAGCTAAACCATAAGGGTAGTTTAAGAAATTTATCCTTTTTTTGGACTCCCAGAAGAGTAGTCTGGACCTTCTAGCAATAAAATATGTTCCAACCCTCTATCAACAAGATCTAACACTGCACATTTCATCATGAAACTAAGACCCACCACAAAAGTGAGACCCGCCATGTATGAGATGTGCAATATAAGATATTATTGGTAGAGGGTTTGAACGTATTTTGTTGGCAAGTGATCCGGACTCCTCCTAGAAAATGCAATATAGTTGTTCATAAGGTTGTAAAATTTACTTCTCATTATATTACTTGGGATTCCATCCCTAATTTCGTGATTCCTCATGTAATGAATGATGCCCCCCTGGACACACTCTCAAGGGGGATTCTCTCTCTAAAAAAAAAAAGAAAAAAGTTTGCCTTGTCTTTGTGCTTGGTCTCAACTCTCAAATGCCCGTTTTTCTATTTCATGTAATGGTAATCTTCAACAATGGTCTGTTTGAGCAGGAACGATGAATGACCGTTGCCTTTTTGAACCTTCTATTATGAAGTCTAAAGTCTAAACAAAAATGTGAAGGTTACAAGTAAGCATGCACGTGCTTTGCGTGTGGGCAATTCTAGATGATGATAATGACAATAATAATATATCTATTTTTTTTCTATAAAATTTATATAGTTTTTATTTATTGTTTTTTATATTTTATATTTTTTTATTATTAATTAGATGCAAATTTGCAAAATCCAAATCTGATTATAGAATACCTCACCCAAATATGTGATAATCAGATCGAGTTGTAAAGTTTCAAGTATCATTGACAGACCTACCTGCTTGGCTAGACTTCATTTGTAGTGTTTTCTCTTTGTGGTGTATCATTTTTTTTTGTTCACTTATCAAAAAATTATAAGATTTAAATAGAGGGAATTGAATGAGGTGAAAAGTAGTAGTTCAATTTACAATTAAATATGAACTAAATTCAAAATGAGTATTTTATTAAAAAAAAGTTCCATAATTTTTCATATTTTTAATAGTAGTGTAAATATAGAATTATAGATGTGCTCAATTTTGTTTACATTTTTTTTTGTATTTTTGTGTGTACAAATAATTCTAATATATCACGCCTACTTTTGATTTAATATGATATTATACATGTGCATGAATGTTTTTTTTTGCAAAACTAATGTATTTTTTTTTATTTTTGCATTTTTATATTTTATTAATTTTTATTATTTGTTTATGGCATTAAAGGTTAACACATTTTACCCAAAAGTTGAACTATTTATTATTAATTTTTATATTTCATTTTTGGTTAGTTATAAATTATGTATTTCATTATCAATAAAAAATTCTTGTTTATTATACTTATTTTTAATTTAATTAATAAAATATCATAAATGTGTCTACTTTTTTCTATATTTTTTGTAATTTTTCTATATTTACTTATATTTTAAAATTTTTATTACCTAATTATGACTTCATAGGTTGATCAATTTGATTGGGATGGTTAAATTGCTTAGTCACCACTTGGATAAAAAAATAGTTTTTTTTTTAGTCAGTTTTAAAATATATGGTATTATATTTTTAAAAATATTGGCATAGATCTAATTAGTAGCATTTATTAGTGAAAAATTAAAACTATGGGATTTAATAGAAGAAAATGGGATTTAATACTTTAAATATAAGACTTAATGAGAGGGGATTAAATGAGGTGGAAAATAATAATTAAAGTTACATTTTAAACCCTTACAATTAGAGATGCATTAAATAAACAAATATAATCATTTTAGTAGCCATTAAAGTTGACATTAAAATAACTTTTATACCATTTCTTAAACAAAGAAGTAGAGGGTAATTTTAGTCATGAAAAAGTTTCACATTGCATTTACTCTTTAATATATAGTATAGATATGTGTATCAATTAAATCCTTTGTATCAGAGCTTTGATGTCTGATCAGGTCAACTACCTCTTCTCACTCTGATTCTTCAATGGCCGCTTCTACCACATTGTGTAATGGAACTGTGTAATCCTCTACCACTAATTCCGCTTCTACTACATTACATCCACACTTTTATTAACTTTTATTATTTATTTATGACATTAAAGTGGCCCATAATTTGAACTATTGATCTTTTCTAAATAGTAAAATAATTTCATTTTGGTTAGTTTTAAATTATATTTTCATTTTCATTTCCAATAAAAATAATTCTTGTTTATTACACTATCATAAATGTGTCTATTTTTTTTAATTTTTTGTAAGTTTCTATATTTATTTCTATTTTAAAAATTTTATTACCTAACTATGACTTCATAGGTTGAGCAATTTGATTTGGATGGTTGAATTGCTTAGCCACCATTTGGATTAAAAATGGTTTTGTTTTTGAGTTAGTTTTAAAATATATGGGTTTATATTATTAAAATTATTAACATAGATATAATTTAATAAGATAAAATGGGAGTTAATAATTTAAGTATAAAACTTACGTGGCGTTCGGTAACGTGTTCATTTCATGGATGGACCATTTCAGCCCATGCCACGGGATGAACTCCCTGATCGGTTGGTTGTGGATGAGACCAACCCACACTATATCATGACCCTCCCCGTCCACAACCCAAAATCTCGACCACACATATATCTTGTGGATGTGGTCGGTTCACAACATTTTCACACTCTATTTTGATACAATACATCTCTTCTACATACTTTTCTCTCTTTTAATTTTTTCATTTTCAAATAATAATTTTTTAATTTTTAATTTTAATATTTTATCAATAAAATAATATTTTTAATTATAACTTTAGCACAAGCCTAGAGGTGCTCCTTCTCCACTCATTTTATTTATTTAAATATTAATTCTTCTATGTTTTTATCAATAAAGTAATATTTTTTTAATTTTTGAAATATTTTTATTTTTTAATTATTTTACTATCATTTTTATTAAAATTAATATTTATTGGTTAATATTAATTTATCGATGTCTTTTTTTTTAATATATTTATCATATAAAATGCAAAAATTAGACATTTATGATCGACTATGTAGATCATTCATAAAATGTATATGAGATACATTGAACCAAAAAGTGTGATGTGGACGCCGAACACTGTGGGTGTGGACTGGTCCAGTTTACATAGTCTGTCCACAGTTCTGAACAGTTGTGGATTGATCCTGCCATAGGGTGTGGTGTGGACCAGTCTACACCCACCAATTTCTCATCCACACTACAGAACACTCCCTTAATGAGAAGGAGATTAAATGAGGTGAAAAGTAATAATTGAAGTTACATTTTCAATCATTACCGTTAGAGATATACTAAATACACAATTATGGGCATTTTAATAGCCATTAAAGCCAAAATAAAATGACTTTTATATCCTTTCTCAAATAAAAAAATAAAGGGTAATTTTAGTAAAAAAAGGTTATAGTAGTGTAAATATAGAATTATAGATGTCTTCAATTTTTTCTATATTTGTTTTATATTTATGTGTAAAAATAATTTCAGTATGTCACACTTACTTTTTGTTTAATATGAAAATTAATTAATATTATACATCTTCCTCAATATTTTTTTTTGCAACATTTATGTATTTTTATTATTTATATATGACATTAAATGTTAATACATTTGACTCAAAAGTTGAACCATTGAACTATACCAAATAGTAAAATAATTTCATTTTGGTCAGTTCTAAAGTATGTATTTCATTTTCGTTATCAATAAAAATAAATCTTTTTATTACACATATTTTTTAAATTTGATTAATAAAAGTATCATAAATGTGTCTAATTTTTTTACATTTTTGTAATTTTTTATATTTATTTCTATTTAAAAAATTTTATTACCTAACTATAACTTTATAGATTTATCAATTTGATTCGAATGGTTGAATTGCCTTGTCCATCACTTGGGTAAAGAATGTTTTTGTTTTTTAACCACTTTTAAAATATATGAGTCTATATTGTTAAAAATATTGAGATAGATTTAATTAGTACCATTTATTGGTGAAAAATAAATTAAATATAGGATTTAATAAGAAAAAATAGGAGCTAATAACTTTAAGTATATAAGACTTAATGAGAATGGATTAAATAAAGTAAAAAGTTATAATTGAAGTTATATTTTCAACCCTTACAATTAGAGATAGATTAAATACACAAATATTGTCATTATAATAGCCATTAAAGCTGACATTAAACTTATAATAAAATAATTTTTATACCCTTTCTCAAACCAATAAATAAAAAGTAATTTTAGTCCAAAAAAATTTTACACTATATTCACACTTTTATATATAATATAATTTTAATAAATGAAAATGCCCCTCGCTCATCAACAACAAAACCATTTGATACCCATACCCAAAAAACATCTTCAAAAAACAATCGTTTCCCTCTCTCCCATTATTCTCTAGTTTGCCTGTTTTCTGTTTTTGGTTTTGGGTTTCAACACTGATTTTTGTTTTTCTTCATTCTCCCTTTTTTCCATTTATTCTCGATTTAATAGAAAAAACAGTAATCACAAATATATTACTAGTAATAGTAATAATTGTAATCTGGTTGGCGGTGTTTCTCTGCACCAAACGGATAGATAGAGAAAGGGGTTTTTTAAGCATTTTGATAACGGTGGATGGATTGACTTCTCATCGGGAAAAATGTCGAAGCTGTACGTACACGCAGCGCCCCCGACGGATCTCAATAAGAACACCGAGTGGTTTATGTACCCTGGTGTCTGGACTACCTACATCTTGATCCTCTTCTTCTCATGGCTCTTGGTGCTTTCCCTCTTTGGCTGCACCCCTGGCATGGCTTGGACCATCGTCAATCTTTGCCATTTCGCCGTAAGCTTCACTCCTTTTTATTTTTCTCATCTCTCTCTCTCTCTCATTAATTTCATGGTGCACTAGGGTTTACCCGTTCAGATTATAGATTTGTTCCATCTTTTCATGATTTGACTTTTTCACAGGGTTAGGGTTTAGGTTTCAATTTTTTGTTGCTCGTCTGGCCGGAGGGGTCCCCCCCGTTATATTGAATTTGGCAGGTAGGAATAGGGTCATGCTGGATTTTTTCTGTTGGATCGGTGTTATATAGTTTCTGGATATTTCTAGGATAGGTTTTGTTCCTTGAAAGGTAAGGGCGGGGTTTGAATTTAGAAAATAAAGGACATGACTGCGAATTCCTGAGCTCTCCTTTTATTTATTGTATGTTTGCGACCACTGTTGAGAATGTTAACAAGTGGGATTGGGTGACATAAGGACGCAGCCTACAGTCTATATGTTATGAGAATTGACTTCTTAAACTGTTCTTCGTTTCCTTGATTTTAGTTCTTACTTTGATCAAAACCTTGGAGTTTAATTTTGTGGATGACCTTCTTCTGGCAGTTATATTATGGTATTAGTGTCTCTTCTTAACCAGTTAGCTGATTTTCCATTGTCTTCTGCATGAGTTATCCTCCATATTTAGCTTGATATGATATTATGTCATTAGGAGGTGATAGAAAATAGATGCCCCAATTGAAATTATATGGGTGCAAACACTTAGTTATGGGATTGGTATTTTTATAGTCATATGAGTTTGAGAAAACAGAACCAATTCAATATAACTAGTCAAATTTGAATTTGAATAGTAAGGCCATGGTATATAATGTTTGTCCAGGTTTACTCTAGGGTTTTCACTTTTCAGTTGGTTTGTAGTTGGATATGTCACAGCTCTTTTTTCATATTCTACAATTATGCATGATTCCAAATTGCAGAATATTTGAGATAATGTTTATCATTTCATCTCATGTATTTTCTCTTTATCTTTGGTGTTTTGATATCTTTTACATGTTCTCTGTGTGACTTAGGAAGATTATTCCATGCTAAGATTACAATTTGGCAGCTTGATTTGCATAAACATGGAATGAGCTCAAATGGTGTAAATGCATTTTCTCTTTATCTTTTGACGTTGCATGAACTCCCTCTCTGGTTTCATTTCCTTTGTCCTATTTGAATCCACATGCAATGGTGATTCTGTGTAATTTTAGGCATACATATAATTTCCAACGTGCATGCACACAATTTACCATAAGACTTTTCTTTTAACCTTTGTATACTAGATGAATGATTTAGCTTGAACATAATGCATCTGAAAGACCTTATAAGCTATGATATTTCTACAAATAGACTGATAAAGCTGCAATAGGGAATGACATTCTTTATTGCACTTTAATTACTTTCTTGCATCAGATTGTGTTTCCTACTTCATTTAGAGTCTATGAAATTTGTAGCATGATAGCAGAATAAAATTAATTAACATAGCTTATAATTGAAGCCTGTCTTATATTTGAACCAAAAACCTTTAAGCTAGATGTTTTGTGAGTCCAGATCTGCTCACAACAAAAAACTGTTCCAACATATTCCAACTTGATCTGTGTTCACACATCGCAGACATGGTGGATCCCAGTCTCATGTGAGATGTGCAAACACAGATCCTGTTGGAAGCGTGCTGGGCGTTTTTTGTTGTGAGCAGATCGCAGCTCATTTTTTGCTACCTTTATATTTCTATTTGATGGATTTCTGCTTTTAAAGCAGACATACTGTTTTTTTCTTTGGATTGTTTCCCTATTTTGAGATTGTCTGGTTTCTGAACCTAAAGCCAAGATGTATGCTTATTATTTTTAACTGACAGAATTCCTCGGTGTTTGCACATATATTGTATGCACCTTTTTTTGAAGAAAGACACACAAATGCCAAAAAAAAATCTAAAAATTTCAAAAAATGCCAAAAACTAAAAAGCCAAAAAATCCAAAAAATGCTAATTATTAAAATATTAAACAAATTATTAATTAAAAATATAAACTTAAATTTTAAAATAAATGCTTTAAAAACCTATTATCTCCAATTAAAATATTGAACATAACATGTAAAACGTACTTAAAATGAAAATTAAAAAAAAAATCAAGCATAACATACCAAACATATTCAAGCATGTAAACTCTTAATCTCTTTATTTTTTTCCCAGTTGCATTACTTCAAATAGATAATATTATGTTAAACATTATGCATTCTTGATTCTATGAGTTGCCTTTGTACCATGCCCCTCGAGGCAAGCCCGAACAAATCCATATTAGGGTCTTAAATCCTTAATCCCTATAAAAAGGAAGGTTTATAATGTTAAGTGTCTTTTAAAAATATCTTTTATTAGGGTGAATGATTGAATGAGCAACATTAGTAAATATGTTGCTAAGCACAAAAATGCACAGATTTTCAAAAGGTGCATGCCTGAGCTGAAGCACAAGGCACTTTAAGTATCTTTTAAAAATATCTTTTATTAGGATGAATGAATGAGCAACATTAGTAAATATGTTGCTAAACACACAAAAAAAATGCACAGATTTCAAAAGGCACATGCCTGGGCTGAAGCGCAAGGCACACCAGGTGAGCACCTTTTGAAAATACTCTGCCTGGGACCTAGGCGAGGTGCATACCCTAAAATGCGCCTTGCCTGTGCACCTAGGTGCGCCTGAGGCACACTTTTTAAATAACTAGGCTTCCTACATTTTGTGCTCAAGAATTCTTGTAGGCAACGATCAGTGAAAGAGGATAAAAGAGTCAAATTTATATTTGAATTGGAAGAAGTTATATGAGACCAAGCCTTTTTTTACATAATTATCTGTGCATTTAATCATTTTGCTGAATTTAGTTTTGGTAGCTGAGACTTTATTACCTTTTTTGCTGTTTGCACATCTTTTCTGTGAGAGAATTTGTCTCTCCGGAGTCGAGCTCTGTTGTCTTTTAGTTGCTACTCACCTTATGCTTCCCTGTAGGTGGTATTTTAAATTATTAATCTCTGACAAAACAGAGTTTGGTGTTATGTTTATTAATAAATTGCTTGAACAAGCTAACAGTCTGTTTTTGTTTTCCTTTTAATCATCTTTTTTTTTGCCTTGCATTTTAGTTTCTTTGTTTTTCTATATATCATGATTGAAGAGATTTTTGTTTTCTTTTTTTTGGCCCAGGTCACATATCACTTTTTCCATTGGAAGAAGGGAACCCCATTTGCTGAAGACCAAGGTATCTATAATAGATTGACATGGTGGGAGCAGATAGACAATGGAAAGCAGCTCACTCGTAATAGAAAATTTCTGACTGTTGTACCCGTGGTGCTGTGAGTATACCACTATGACATTGTCCTTTCAATTTGGTCATTCTGAATATGAATAGATGAAATAAATATTTTGAGGAGCATTTCTGGCAATTGCATAAATTGATCCTACTTTGTGTGCAATATTTTATGTCGCAAATTGTTTAGAATTTTATAGTAACTCAACAATTCAGGCTGCATATATGTTTTTATTTGCTTATATTAGTGCATGACTGAGTTGAGGTGTATATATTTGTAGGATCACCAAATAAATTATGTTATTTTCTGCAAATAATCTTAGAACAGCTGTTAGAATACCTTGGGGGGTGGTCTTGGATTGAAATTATTGGAAAAATGAATCTGCTATTAGGACAACTAGAAAAGGAAGTATTCTAATTTCCCAAGAATATTTCAAGATTTCAAATTAATGTTTTAAGTTTTTAAAAAGTTTGACCTAAATTCCTAAATGTGGCAGGAGTATGGGCTCAGAGAATAAACTGTCTACTATTCATCAAAGAGAGAGAGAGAGAGAGAGAGAGAGAGACTTTTACAAGGATGAACAATGTGATCCATGAGGGGATTGGATAGCTAACTAAATTAAGTGAAGCCAGAACCAGTAGGAAAATTCAAGGACCAAATTGGGGGAAGAATGGTGCATCTTTAAGGAGTTCTTTGATCCTGAATAATGAGCATGCTTCACCCATCAAAAGCTCATGAACAGATCTCTAATTGGTAATGAAGAGATTTTTATATACTTAGATAAGAGTTATGTCAACTCTAGTAGGAGGGTGCAATGCTTTCTCCCTTGTAGTGATTGGCTAAAATTAACTCATGTTTAATACATTTTCATTTGAAAAATATAGAATAAAATAAATTCAGCATGCTTTTTCTTGTAAATGCAGATATAATATAATAGATTTATATGCCTGCACAAATACCTGCTTTTTCAGATTTGTATGTGTATAAGCCTCAAGGCGCACCTTGGTGCAAGGTACCAAGGCTCATGTCTGATGTATGGTTTACACATGGGGCATATGACCAAACCGTGGGGTGTTTAAAAGAATTAACAATTGTTTTATATAAACAGTTATTCTTATATTACTCACTTCTTGTGAATTACTTATCAAAGTTTGACATTTGGTATATAATAAACCTATTAAATGCACATTTATGATCATTTGGATCTTTGCCCATTAAGATAGATATTTGCATTTCTTTTTCTTTTTAGGTTCAAATTCCATGTAACAAATGCTGGATACAACATCTAACATGCAATTGTTGGATGTAATGCGTGAGGTATCTTACTTTGCAATGAATGAGTTAGAGCTGCAAATAGATTGGATTGAATCAGATATACCTAAATCCAAGTTTGATTTGTTAGTATTTGGATTCAAATCAAATCATATATGTCCGATATATATTGGTTTTAGATTGCAAAAGTGAATTGAAAATAATTTTTATGAAACTTGAATGTAATACCTCTTTAGTAAAATACAATGCCCAAATCAATTTTAATAATGAATACAATATAAGTCAAATTGCATTGGATCATATTGGACCAGATAGGGGTGGATCCATATTCAATCCAATCATAAATGGATCAAATTTAGATCACCCTTTAAACAGATTGAATTCAAACAGATCCATTTACACAATGATAATGTTGCAACTACTTGTTGCAAAGTAGGAGTGTAGAATCAAACCTCTTCTCAAGCCAAATGGGAGGGGAGAGGAAGTTCAAGCTGGCGGGGAAATGGAGACTGAAGTTGATCATTGAAGCCAAATCTTTCCTGTTCGAGCAAGGAAGGACAAAGGGGAAGGCTCACTTGAAAATCAGAGAAGGGAGTAGGGCGACGATTCTCCTACCAGAGGAGGCTTGTATGTGGTTGAAAGGTTTTGTAGATGGAACTGTTAATTCTTTATGGGAAGAAGGTTGGAGAAACCCGTTGACCTGTGAGAGTAAGAGGTTCAAATCTGTGCTGAAGAGGAATGGAAACGGGTGGTTTATAATGGTTACCGAACTCTTTGGTAATAACAAAAAGCAAGTGTTGTGTATTCCGGAAGGCCAGAAGCGGAGAGGGTGGGCTTCCTTCGCTTTTAATCTTCGGGCTTTTCTTCTGGAGGTTGAAGGGAGAGTGGAAGAAGCCCCTGGCTTGAAGGATTGTAATCATTCTGTCCTGTGTAATCAGGTGCCCTGCTTTAAGCATTACCCTGATGTTTTGGTGTCTAGCTCGACTGTCCTCCGACGAGTAGCTTTGGAAGAAGGGAGTGGGAGTTGGGAGAAGAGGGTGGTCCTAGTGGTAGACAGGGTGATAGAAGATTGGACAAAGGTTTTAGAAGTAGTTGCAGAGAGGTTGGGCTTAAATGAAGATGTAGTGTTGTTGCCTTCTACTGAAAAGAAAGCTTTATTAGATACTGGAGATAAGAAACTGATTTTCAGTACATTCATTGTAGAGGGAGGTTTGATTCAGGTCTAGAACTGGGCTCCAGTTTGCAACGAAGTTGAATCTAGAGTCGACAACTTCTTGATCAAACTTCTCGGTCTTCCTTTCAACCTTTGGAATGATCAAATACTAAGGAAAATTGTCAGAGCGTTGGGTAGAGTTCTGTTGGAGGTTAACTTAAGAAACTTGAGAGCTGTGGAACTTAAGGTTGCTGGGATCAAGCCGGAGAACTTGCCGCGTGCCTTCGAAGTTCTCTCAGAAGATGCCTGGTACAAGGTCTGGTTAGCTTCAGAAGATGAAGCCTCGCTCTGGGGAAGACGAACAAAGGTTGAAGGAGCTGACGAGTCTGTAGGTTGGTGTACACGTGGCCTTCAGGGGCTGTGTTATGGACGCATTCCTCGGGAAGACATACCATCGCCGCCGGCAGCAGCAGGAACCTGACCCACCGCCAGCAACAGTAATGATTCAGTGATTCTCAGTCTACCTAGTTTGGCAGCAACAGTCTCATCCAGATTAGATTAGCTTATCTTGCTTGTTCTTATCTTATTCTATTGCTCTTATCTTATCTAGTTAGTAAGTTATCAGATTAGGATTAGCTTATCTTATCCTTAGCAAGATAGAACTGGAAGTCTCCCTATTCAACAAGGAGACTCCCTCAGATTAGGACTCTTGTAATCTYSTATTTAAGGAGACACCCTTATTGAATGAAATCATCAAATTATTCAGTCAAAGAGTGAGTTAGGAGAGTTGGTGATCTCTTGGACAAATCACTAAAGGCGCCAAGATAGGTTCATCACGAGAAGGAAGGAACAAGGGAAAACAGGAGGTTTTCCCCGTGGACCGACCCATGACGAGATCCTATTCTCGGGCCCTCAACAGGTTGGTGGGAAAGCTTGGTGCATGTGGGCGAACGATAGAGGAAGGGGAATAGTTACGGGGGTGACCCAAGTCTTGAAGCTTTCCTATTAAGGCTTCTAATTCAATTTTTTTTTGTAGTTGGGTTGTTTAAAGAGGGTGGCCCGTCCTGTGCTGATGTGGCTAAAATGGGTAAGGTTCGATTGTGCTCAAAGTCTTTGTCTGAACCGGCTTTAAGGAAGGCTGGGTCGGACGAGTCAGTGGGTGAGCCTTCATGTGGGATGGGGTAGGCTTCGGATTGTTTTTTTAAAAGCTCACGTGACAACTTAAGTCATCATGTGGGACGGGACAGGCATGGGGCGACGATAGATGGCAACATTCATCTATCATTGTCTAGGTCTCGCCCTCTCGACTGTGGAGGGGCTTAAGATGGCGAGAAAGGCAGAAGGATGCCGTCCTCTGTGCTGGGTCCGACGGACAGCCGGCGACGCGCAAAAACACGTTCCCGATCGCCCGAACCCGTGCTATTCGAGAGGTAGAACAGAAGAGAACGAAGAGGCTGACCAAGGTTGGATAAGCTGCGGCTCAGATTCTGACTATGATGAAAGAACGGAAGCCTGTGGGAGTTTAGGCAGTGCGGCAGACAAAGCTCTATCTAAAGATCAGAACAGGGATCCTTTCAGCTTGGATTGTTTGTTCATAGGGGATTCGGTGGGGGAGGGAAAGGAGGAGGGGGAGAAGCGGGTGAATGATCTTAACCCAAATTTGGTTGAGCCCTCCCCTAGTTCTAGTGCTTTGCAAGAGGCCGAAAAGGAGGTAGCTCGGGTCTTCTCAGAGCTGAACAAGGGTACCTCACAGAGAGGTACATACTTGGGTACAGAAAGGGGTCTTTGTGTTGATACATCGATAGGGATTTTCTTCCCCCAACTCGGGGAGACAGAGTGCTCTAATTTCTCAAAA